CAATTCATCGCAGTGAGATAAAATTCCTCAACTCTCCTCGCCGAAATCCCCGAAGACAGCATGATCAGCGTTCTAGCTCAGGTGGTCGTCCGGTTTTGGGTCGTCGTCTTTTGTTTCTCGTTCTGTTTTAATCTGTTTTGGGTGTTAATTGTGTGCTGGGACTGTGTGGGCAGGAGCGATTGCTTGGTGCTGCATTGGGAAGCGCATTGGCGGGGATCGTCGTAATCGAGCAGCGCAAACGCATTTACGATTCGATTTCCGATGAGAAATCCAAACTCGCCGCTCAATCTAAGGTGCATTTTTGTTTTCGTATTTGAAACCTTAGCGACTGATTTAATTCACCATTTTATTGATCTCTCTAACCCTAACGGATTGTAAGTTGTTGACTTTCCTCGTTAATTTAGGCGAAAGAAGAAATCAAATATGTAGGGCTGATTATTTTGAATTTGTTTGTTTTAGATTCTTATTTCTCTACGGTTTAGATTATATCTGTTATTACTCTCATTTCTTTTTCTTTTTATTTTTTTATTTTTTGCAATTTTTAGCTCGTGCTTTTCATGACTCAGGCAAAAGAATTTGAAATTTTGATCCTTAGAAATTAGAATAGCCAATAGAAACCCAATCTTCCTTTATTTGGAGAATTCATATCTTCCGCCTTTGTCTCCTGTGTTTCCAAAATTTTCTATATTACTGTTGTTTTTATGTTATACTTTTTTTTATTTATGAGATGGATTCTTCGCTTAAATGAATGATACCTTAGCTTAAAGTAGCAGTATGACTAATTTTGCTTTGACGTCAAAAAGAGAGTCGTTTCATCATGTGCCGTGAATTGCTTCAAGTTCTTATAGTTTAATTTGGATCAAACATCTTCCAGGTGACAGAGGTCATATCCAGAAAGCATTCACATTCAAGCTCAGAATTTGCTCTTCTATGGAACAGAGCTGTGGACCAGATATTCGTGCCTGTGATTGAATCACTGAGTTCGCGTAGATGGTAGGGATGTTAAATTTAGTTTCACAATCAAAGATTTGATGTGTCTATTCTTGACATTCAATACATGCAAAACAGAATGTCTCTGTCAAATTCAATAAATGAAAGAAGGAACTAGCATCTTGATGCTGGGGGCGATGTTCAAATTGACTTTGCTGAATAATTAGCTCTTCTTTACCTCTTTCTTGGTTGTGGGTTTATTGTTGGTGGAATCTGCTTTCCCAACTCTTCTTTTCTACAACCAAAACACCTCAGACTAGATCAATGTCTTCTCTGTGAACGCAGGTTAATCGAGCTATGCATGTCTCTTTACTAAGGTTTCTTCAGTAAAATAGTCTTAATGTTAAACTATACTGTTGTTTTTCTAGACTAGGATGCTTGATAGTTGTTGGCTTCACTATATTTGTTAATGAGTATCTCTAATTTTCTTTCAATAAGTCTGAGGATATCCTTAAATGATTTCCCTTTTCTGTTGACTTTAAAAACTGTCTCCCATTTTCCTCAATGATTATGTTAATAGCTTTACATATTTCTTTGATTCTAGTGCATTACTAATGTAATAGTGAAATAACATGCAATTCTATCAAAAGCAATCACAATCATTAATTAATACACTCATACTCCATAATAGAAGAAGAAAAGCTTAGAACATAAGGCTCTGCTCTAACTATTGCGGAGCTTACTGTACATATACAAAGGAAATCAAGCTTCAGGTTGAACTGTTTTTGGCCGGCTTAGGTTGGCTCGACGAGTGATTGCTAAATAGTAGACTCCCATACCTAGAAGCACCACAAATGCACAACCAAACACAATTGCAGCTACTCCTCCTGCCGCTACCCGGTTGTCCCCTCCATTTTGCCGTGCTAAGACCTTGCTTTCGAGTGCTTGATTTGCTCTTACCTCAACTGCAACGGGCAATGGTGAGCAGCTGGACGCAGCAGCACAGGGGTGATTGGCATCAGGGTCTTGTGTTTTGGGGTGGAAAAATTCATATGCAGATGGTGAGAAGGCCACGGGATTCTCATAGGCAATGCCATGGGGAGCTCTATCTTGACTTTTTGCAATAGAGAGAAGGGCTAGAGAAGATAACAAAAGCAAGAAAGAAGAAGCAACTGAGGTCATGTTTCTCGCTCTCTTTGCTCTGAAGATAGAACAGAAGCTAAAAGCCGGGCTCTGGCTTTTGAGTGAAAATTGTGTGCTTTGAAGTAGCTTTTATAATGGCTTTTAAAGAAGCTGTTTGCTTTGCTTGGCTTTTAATTCTGGTCATGAAAAGCAAGTGAACATAATGATTGACAATAATTTCTCAGCAAAAGTGCTTGTTTCCCAAAGTTGTCCTTCAATGTCAAAGCCTAGAAAGTACATACACTGAAAAATTGCATGCTAGCTAATCCCTCAAAAAGGTTCACAAAGGTAACTTTTGTTTTCAGTTTTCTCTTCATTTAATCTGGAAAACTAATCATCTGTTTATATGCTATTTAGTCACATGAAGCACAGTACCAGGGAGTTTGCAAGGTCTACATTAACTAACAGAAAACTTTTGCTTTTTATTAATTGATACATTAGATGATATGTTATATAATTATGTGATAGTATTTCCCTCATCAAATTTCTCCCAACATGTTTCAAGATTCAAATTTAACTTAGAAATCTAAAAAACTTTATTAGTTCAAACACCACTTAGATGGCAGAAAATTACTGCTCTAATCTCATAACTTACATGGAAATCATTTGTCTTGTGTTGCAATTTTTTAAGTTTCAATTTCATTGCTTTGCTTGTGGGAAAAGGTAAAAGAAAATATGAGGTTGATCTAGCTTGAAGGATCGGCAAAGGTCATTAACAAAAATTGGATTGATGTATGAGTGTGGGTAATTATAAGGGGGTAGGGTACGTGCCAAATGCCCTGTCTTGGGGCATTATTGCAATGGAAGGTTAGCATGCAAAAAAAAGCCCCAGACCCAATATTAATGTTGCCCTTCTTCCCCACATCCAATATTAAAATCATGTCACTCTTTTCATGCTTCTCACTTACCTTCTCCTTTATCCATTTTCTTTTCACGGAAGATTCTTGTTTGTTTTTTCCCCCTTTTTCTAGTGGAACGTTAGGACTTCACATGTTTAGCGCAGTGCACACACTGTGAAATTCAGTGTGTGGGTTATACCGGTTTTATTTGCTTTAACTTTTTCGGTTTCGAAAAGAAAGGTGTGACTTTGATGTTTCAATTAATATGGGTTTTTATGGGACCAATTGAGTATCATCAAGAAAGACAAATGGGTGCCCAGCCCATTTAGATCTTGTTCGACCATAAAAGGCCCATGTAAAAAATGTAATAATATGCCGAAATACCATTTTTCTAGTATAATATATAATTAAATGTAGTAATAAGAAAATAAAAAGTCATATATCTTATTAAAGGATGAGTTTTGTGTTAGAAATAAATACTAAAACATCTAAACATGAATTGAACAAAAATCAAAGTAGAAAAATGAAAATTAAGAGATTCTAACATTAAAAATATAAAAAAAACTAAAAATTAATACATCTTAATATTAAAAGTATCATAGAATCCTAAATTATGAAGTTATTTTCCCATATAAGTAAATTAGTCAAGATATTGCATGAATCTTATGATTTAAAATAGGGTACTTCTAATTTGTACCTTTAGAATAAAGGTTAAAGGTGCATTATCACATTTTTTTTATCATTAATTTGTATAAAAAATTATAAAATCAAACTTTATTTTCAATAGCAATGTTTTATGAAAAAATTTAATTAAATAGTTAATAAAACATAAGTGAACTCTTATTAAATCAAGATTCTATCGCATGCAAGTCCAAGGAGAAAGTGTAAGGACAGGTCCGAGGTGCCAAGACAAGGACAGGTCCGAGGTGCCAAAACTCGGACTGCTACAGTAATCCCTTTATGACCGAAGTGAGGAATGAATCCAAAGCTTCCCGCTCAAATAGCTGCATGATAATGACGATAAGCATGTCCGCACCTGATTCCTTATGATGAGTGGCACTGCAGGTATGGTGGACGCCTGTGCATTTGAATACCTCTCAAATTCCCGGTCCCGGAATAATCGTCTGGATGGACACGTTAAGTTCCGATTATCTTGCTTGGCATGCCACGTGGATTCCTCATTGGATCCTATAAATACCCCCTTCGGGCCACGTCAAAAGGTAATTGAAACCAACCATAAGCTCTTTTTATCTCTGCCCTAAAAGTAGTCCCGATTATTGCTGACTTAAGTATCGAAGTGTCTATCCCGAATTCCACCTCGGAGCTTTGCAGGTCATCCCGGAGTGCAGGCACGGACTGAAAAAGGACTTCTGGTTTGGTGCAATTACAAAAAGAACCTACCAAATTCCTTATATTTTAAGAAAAAGTTTTCATCATCAATACCCAAAACTGATCTACTCATCAAACTCTAGAAGACGACTATGGCAGAACAAAAAAAAAAAAAAAAGCTTGTAGAAGATGACAGAAGGCCACATAACAAGGAAAAGATAGGGTAGATTAACTAGTGCATAACATATATGCATACTCTATGACTAATTAAGTATCGAGGATATGAGATACATCCAACATTTTTTTTTAGCGGTTATATAGGATATTTCCAAGTTAATATGTGTATATTTTGAACTTTTTGGTTTAATTAAAAATAAGTTATCTACATTGGTATTAAAAAATTTAATAAAAATTAACCTTTTCAATAAATTAAATCTTGATCAATAAAATAAAAACAAACTTATTTACCTATTAAGCTACAATTCCTTTGAGTTACATCTGGCTTTTATAAAGCTAGGAACCCCAATGCTTTATTGACCTAACATGTTCCATTTTCCTTTTTGCTATTTTCATAATGTCGTGAGGACCAGCACCCAACTGCTACTAGCAAGAATAGACAAAGAGAGAATCAAATCAGCTCACTCCTAAAAACCACCACCACAAAAGCCAACTCATCTAATGTCTTTGGAGACATCGATCTCATCACTGTCTAGCTAGTACTACTACTATAAAATAAAGTATGTATCTACACTAATATTTGCTATTAATTTTGTGTAATGATGAGCACTACCTATATCACCACTCAATACAATGGTTTAGTTTAGTAGAATGAGGATAAGAATGCTTTGAACAAAACCCACTTTTTATATAAAAAAAAAAAATTATCCCCATTATCACGAAACTTTAATTAACTAACCCTTAGAAATAAATAAAAATTAATTACTACCATATTCAAGTGTGTCTAACAATAAGTTAAGGCGACTTGTTTATTACATAAATTTGAATCTAACAACTTACCCTAGAAGAACATGCACAATATCCATTTACTATAGAATTAAGTAGAAATGTAACCGGAATCCAACCTAACATCTTGATAAGGATAAACAAAAGATGACAAAAACACAAACTTAAAATTGTAGTACATTAATTCAAATGCAATAAAAGGAAAATACAATAGGGATTCACAAAAGACACCCTTATGGATCCATAAATATTTTTAATTTACAATTCAAATATGGCTTCCTCCAAACCTCTTTCCCCTCCAAACCTTACCGTTGCCGGCCGGCTAGAGGAAAACAATACTGCAGAAGGAAACCCTAGACAGATTCGCACTCTTCATGTTATTATTATGAAAATCTTATCTTAATAGAGAGAAAATTAGGCATTGCTCCTGAAGGATCCTAGGGCTTTAATGGCACCTGCTCGGAGAATGTACTGGTGGTAGAAGGCAGCGATGGCGGCACCAATGAAGGGTCCCACCCAGAAGATCCACTGGTCATCCCAGGCCTTGTCTTTGTTATAAATCACGGCAGCTCCCAAGCTCCTAGCCGGGTTGATGCCAGTGCCGGTGATCGGGATTGTGGCGAGGTGGACCATGAAGACGGCGAACCCAATTGGAAGAGGTGCCAAGATCTTGATTATTTTTCACAAAAATTAAATTAATTCATAATTTTTTTTATCAAAATTTAAACCTTTTTTCTTTTTTTAGAATCTTATGAGTAATTGAATTATCTAGAGAAAATAGTTAGTGCGAAAATGACTGCAAACCTAACAGGAAAATAAAGATTTTCTTTTTTTTAGGAAACGATAAAATAAAGTTCATTTCATAAAGGGACGTGACATAAAAGGGGGAAAACTCATTCTAGCCCTTAAAGTTTTCATAAATTGTAAATTAATTCCTCATTTTTATAGAAAATTCAGTCCTTTTTTATCTTATTACTACAATTAAGTGCTACTTTTGTGGCAATTCTATGAATAAGTAGCAAGTAAGAGAACTTAAGTAAAAATAATGGGTAACTATGATGGGTAAAAGAGAAAATTTTCAAATTATAGATGGGGGTATAACTAGTGATGATGTGATACTTACGGGAACATGGGAGTCCCTTGCATTTCTCTTGGGATCAGTGGCGGAGAAGACGGTGTAGACAAGGACGAAGGTGCCGACGATCTCAGCACCCAAGCCGGTTCCTTTGTTGTAGCCGGCGGCGAGCTCGTTGGCACCACCTCCGTGCTTGTTGTAGTAAGCCTTTTGGAAAGCCTTGACCAGCCCGCAGCCACAGATTGCACCCAAGCACTGGGCTACCATGTATAAGATTGCTCGAATGAGTGACACCTTCCTCCCCAAGAACAGCCCAAAGGTCACCGCTGGGTTGATGTGTCCTCCTGTAATTATTACAACCCAAGAAACCCGTACGAGTCAATAATTAATATAAAAGAATCTAGAATTTAGCAGCAGCAAAAAACTACTGTACTTAATTAATTATGTACTTACCAGAGATACCGGCGGTGCAGTAAACAAGGACAAAGATCATGCCACCAAAGGCCCAAGCGATACCAAGTATGCCAACGCCGCCACACTGATCGGAGGCAGACTGGCTCTTATAGCCGATGACAGTCAAGACAGTGATGTAGAGGAAGAGAAGGGTGGCAATGAACTCGGCAATGAGAGCCCTATAGAAGGACCACTTGATGAGCTCCTCCGCATCAATCAAGGGTGCCGGAGGGGGATCATGGTAGTCCTTGGGAGCGTACTCGCCGTGCTCTCCCTGAACTTCAATGTCCTTGGCCATAGCTTTAGCTAGTGAAGAGCAAGAAAAAGAAAGAGAGACTTTAGAGCTTTTTTAGTGTGTGTTTTTGATGGTAAAGAGATGAGTGGGAGAGTGGGGTATATAAGGAAGGAGAGGGGGTTGATTAATGATTAAGGGAATATTAAGGGTAATGACTTAATTAGATGTAATTTTTGTTTGGACCGACCATACATGTCTGATGTGTGCAACTTTGATTATGGACTTTCTTAGGTTTGCATGGACCCACCATTAGCAGCAACGGCTATTTTTTTTTTCCATATGATGCTGGCTTTTGAAGCTTTCTGCTTCGTAGTGGCTTCTGTCATTATGGCAATTTAGTCTTTTACCAAAGAAAGTGAGTTTTCCTATCCCCTTTCTTCTTCTTCTTTTTCTCTCTTTTTTTTTTTTTTTTTTTTTATCAAACCCTCAGAAG